CTATGCAGACCTACAGCACTGGCTGATTAGACATGGTGTTCCCAGATGTGAAATATATAGAAAGCCTACTAAATTTTCACTGGATCTATGTAAGTAGAAACATTTTAGGGCAAATGAACAAAAATCTACCTTGGACAAGAGCAAAAGACAATCATAAGCTTGAACAAATCCCCAGAGGTAAGGTACTTTGTAGACCCAGAACCCCTTGAACAGCCTTGAGGAGGCTGCCTGCCATTGAGGAAGGCTAGATGCCCTCTCCAAAAGTTATATTGTTCATCCTTCCTCACAGAGACACATACAGTGGAGGGAGACACATGATCAGATGTTTTGGAGCCTGTCTGGCACTGGTTGTGAACTGTTGCTGATTCTGGGAGATCTGTAAGATCAATGTGACCCGCCAATAAAAGTCAGGGCCTGTGGTCAGGTGATCAATGGAATTTTAGCCAAGATCTAACTCATAGTGTTTCCAGTAATCCATGACTCCATCCTCTGGTCATTTACCCAGTTCTAGAATGTGTAGTAGGGATATACTCAGACCTGACAGAATTCTCACACTGGTTCCCTAACCTAGAGTGTCAGGACTTTGATGGTGGGAGATACTGGGGTCTGGCCAAGATCCCCAAATGCCTGTATGAGGGATATGGCAAAAGGATGAAACAAGAAAGAGACAAATTTAGCAATACATGAAGGGGGGCTGGGATGTCAGTGTCTCAGAATGGCAGAGCAAAGATACTCCAAACCAGCCCCTATTTATTGGCTGTGTGCCATGACAGGAGCGCTAGCAGAAGATTCACAGTCAGCAGAAGACTCAGAGGTCAGTGACTCATCGGGAAATTGATCATTTGGGATGGCTCAAGAGACATGATTTTATGTTAAGAAGGGTCTTGCCCTGGAGTGTTTTTCAATCTTAGTGATTTTAGTTTAGCTGGGAGGGGTTGCCCCATCCCTAAAGAGCTAATGAGTGAGGTCAACAGCAAACGGAGCTCTGTAGGCTGCCGTCAGGTTTTTCTGACACGGAGGCCACATAATCCAGCAGATCCAGTGGTACCTGAGGTGGTAGTGGAAGATCAGGGTGCCCTTTGAGGCCTCTGGCAGGCTCCCATTGGTGAGTCACAGTGGAAGCCCTTATGGTTTTGTAGCAAAACTTCATCATATTTTGTAGAAAACTTCCCTTCTTTTGAGAAACAGCTCCTGACCTTCTGCTGGGCCTTCATGGGAAGTGAGCACTTGGTCATGGGACACCTGTTCACCATGCAACTTGAGCTGCCCATCGTGAATTGGGCGTATCTGACCCACTGTTTTAGTTACTTCTTTTGTTCCTGGGATGAAACAATATCTACAGCTTAAAAGAAGGTTCATCTTGGCTCACATTTCAGTCCATAATTAGCTGGCTGCAAGGCAGGACAGCATGACACAAAGGAATTTCAGAGAAAAGCTGCTCATGGAATAGTGGCAGAGATCACGGGAGAGCAGGAAGGCATGTGTCTTCTAGGTCACAATGCCAGCGACTCATCTTTTCCATCCAGACCCCTCCTGTTAAGAGCGAGTCACCTATACCACGGGCACCATCCAATCATCTTTGAGTTCAAGGACTTTGTGGGGACAACCAGCTATAAACCATACTGAGTCCCAGCAGTCACCCAAAAGGAAGCGGTATATACATGATAGGCCTGGGCAGGAAAAGAGAGTTACATGGAGAAGTGGCACAAATACCCATGCTTCCTACTCTTGCTATGCAGCTTTCTGTTCTTCAGATGTATCTATGGCCTCATAGGGTGTACACTACTGACACAGGGGAAGAAACTCCCAACCTATTAGATTTCTGGTAATAGTTCCTGTTCTCTAAAATAGGAGAATGAACTTTAGGAACAATGGAGGTTAAGAGCAGAGTACATTTATTGAGAGAAAGAAAGCTTGTCTGAGAAATAGAGACAGAAGCGGTCCCGAGTGAATTACCAAGGACTCTGTCTTTTCTAGGGACTTTTATGGAGCAAAACCATGAGACAAGGCAGGTCCAAGATGGGGAAAAATAGGAACTCATAATGTAGGTGGATATGAGGTGGGACAGAACTGTGGTCAACAATAAGATCACAAGTGTAATTGCTCAGGAAAGATTGATTAAATTGAGATCACATATCAAGTGGGCATGAATACAGAACAGGGTCTTTGCTGGTAAAGGGTTGGGTTAGTGGCTCCCTCTGTATTCCTCAAGGTGACTGATACACATTCACAATATCAATACCTGATATTTATACCTAGGGTATAGGTAAGTTTGTTTTTCCTTTTGTCTTGAGATCTGGCCAGCAGCAGAGGTGTCTGTCTCCTTGACAGTTCCAAGGTATCTGGTCTCCTGCCCTGGTTCCTTTGAGGTCCCAGCCCCATCTGACTGCCTAAAATATTTCTAATTAACTCAGCTGCCTATAACACTATGATCAGCTGACAGAAGAAGAAAGGCCTAGGGTCTGGTTTACAGAAGCTTCTCCAAGTTATCAGGCACGACCTGAAGGTGGACAGCTGTAGCACCACAACCTTTCTCCGGGACATCCCGGAAAGCAGTGATGAAGGGAAGTCGCAGCCACCAGAACTTTGGCAGAGCATCTCATCCTACATTCTGCTTGGAAGGAAACATGGCCCAAAATGTACACTTAAATACCAATTCATAGGATATAGCACAATTTGACCAGACAGTCAGGAACTTGGAAGGAACACAGCAAACTGGTGATAGACATTTGGGGAGGAGGTGTATAGGTAGCTGTCTTTATAGGGCTGAAAGATATGAGAGTGTTTGTGCCTCATGTAAATGCTCACCAAAAGGTAAACTCAGAAGAGCAGGATTTAAATAATCAAATGGACAGGCTGACCAATTCCGTGGGTAGCAGTGCACCTCTTTCCTAAGGCATCTCAGACATTGCCCCAATGGGCTAATGAAAAAAGTGGCCATGGTGGTGGGGATGAAGACTGGTCATGTTCTCAGCAATATGGATCTCCACTCACGGAGACTGACCCGACCACAGTGAAGCTGAATGCTTGATCTCCCAGCAGCAGTGATCAACACTGAGTCCCCAATATGGCAGCATTCCCTGGTGCAATCAGCCTATAACAGCTGGCTGGTGATTATATTGGACTTCAGCTATTATGGAAAAGGCAGTGTTTGTCCTTATGGGAATAGACACTTTGAGTATGAATATTCTGAGTGTGAATTTGCCTTTCCTGCGGTCATCTACCATCATGGTATTCTTCACAGCCTTGCTTCTAAGGAATGTATTTTTCAGTCAAATGCAGCAGTGGGCCCATGCTCATGGAATTCACTGGTCTTGTTGTGTTTCCCACCCTCCAGAAGCAGCTGTATCCATCAATTGGTAGAATGGCTTTCAAAGATGCAATTATAGCACAAACTAGATGTCAATAGCTTGCAGGGCCGGGAGGAGATTCTCTAGATGGCTGTATGTGCTCTAAGTAAACATCTAATATTTAGGACACTGTTTCTCCCATAGCCAGGATTCAAGGATACAGGAGGCAAAGGTGAAAATTACAATGACACAGCTCACCATTACTCCCAGTGACCCACTAGCAAAATGTTTGCTTCTTGTTCCCAGATCCCTATCCTTTTTTGTTTGTTTGTTCTGAAGGTAGTAAAATACAATAGAACAAGACAGAACAAAGCCAATTGAGACAATGCAGTGAAGTTGTTACAGGACTTCACTGGATAACAGTAATGGGTACTATAGTATATCTTGTTATCTTCCAATAGTTGTCCTTTCAATAGGTATAGCAAAATCCAAATAAAGAACATCATAAAACCTGTCAGAACAGAGTGTTGAATAGAGCAATATAATTAATCAGAACAAAGCAAACAGTGATAACAATATTTGCCTTCAAAGAGATGGTAAAAGGAAATCCCGTATATTTACATATGGTCATCTTCCCAAGAGATGCTCAGACCTCTGGCTCCCATTTGCTAATGGGGAGGGGCGAGCATGGGATGTTTGACTCTCAGCCCATGCACCAGTAGGCTCATGGCTGCCTACCAGGGAGGTGAGCAGGTTCCTTTGTTACCCAGAACCCTAAGTTCCAACATAACTCGGATCTTGGGAGATGCTGGTTGGCTGGTTCTCTCCCTAGGTCACCTGCCACTCACTCAAGGCACGGCTGCTTACTGGGGTGTATGTATACAGTTGAAAGGAAACAAACCCTAGAGCACCATAGAGTCCTTGGCCATGCATGATAAACTACAGGCTTGGTCTCAATTCTTAAACTATGTGGCTGTTCAGTCTGACCTTGGGCTGAATGCATGTCACATCCCAAGAGCAGAGAGATCACTGTCCAGATTTCAGTTTCTCTCTCTTTCTTTCTTTCTTTCTTTCTTTTTTTTTTTTTTTTTTTTGGTCCTGGGGATTGAACTTACAACCTCGCATTTGCCAAGCAGGCACTTATGTTACTGAGCTATTTCTCAGTAATAACATCACTGATAATTTCTTTTCTTGTTTCAAAAGGTAGATGTTTTTTATTTAGAGAAAAAAAGCAAAACAGGAGAAAGGGTAAAAATAGTACAGAATTTAAAAAACAGTAAGAAATCACTAGTTGATAACTTACATATCATTGTCTTAGAAGTAGTTGTTCAAGTTACAAAATCAAAGCATAAAAATTGGACAATCAAACAATGACAGTACAAACCATTCTATTTGATGGATTAATCTTGAGGCTTTTATAGGTAAATGGAGGCAAGTTGAGACCATACTCATAAGTGAAATGAGACTCACATTTGTAAATATTGTATTGTTTCTGTAATATAAAAAAATAAACTGAAAGAGTAATAAGATCTAAAATGTATAATAGATATTGTGATAATGAAAGAGGAAGAAAGTGCTCTAGATTTTTAAAATAATGTAACTTAGTTTTGATTTAAGCGTAGTCAGTTTGAAATGATTGTTGGACTTTGCCCCGACAGCAACTGGTAGGGAAAAATTGCCGCGGCCAGCGTGGGGAAGGAGTCAGGCGAGAGACTGAAGACGCAGGGAGACCGATTGCTCAGGAGGCAAAAGGCGATTTATTAAAGGACTCCAGAGTTTTTATAGTGTTTCAAAACAAAGAGCAGTACAAGTCACTTCAGGACACTTTTTGTGCATGCAGCCAAGGTAAGCATGTTCTTGGGCCCATGAGAAACTTCTTTGTTTATGTCATGAAGCTATTCCCAGGTTCATATTAGCGCGATGCTTTGTCTAGAAGGCTGAGGTTACTGCAGGGTAAGGAACTGGTTGAGGTCCAGCTTCAGTGTGTGGTTTTTCACACCCGTTCATTGCCGGACCCCTGGTTCCTGCTCCCAACAAAAAATGAAAGTTTAAAAGTGAAATGCAAAACCCCTCCTCCTGCAGGTGGACACAAGGACAAAATAGGTAGACAGGGACTCCCACAGGCCAGAGCCCAGTTTTTGGTTGTGTAAGCAAGGGAGGGACATATCAAGGGTGGGGAGTTAGGAAACAAGCCCAGATCATCTGTCCCACTGTCCCCCTCCTTAGGGTAAAAGGACCCTGCACTCCTAGACATGGAGGGAGGTGACTGTGTCCACAGGAACCTCTTTGTCTTCTTGGACCTGGCTTCAAGGAGTGCCTTTCTGCGTCTCAGCAGAAGCAGGGCCCCCAGGTTGAATAGTGAGTGCCCAGCATACAGACTGCAGTGGCCTGGACTGCCTCACCTTTGTAGCATGCTCCCTGCTGCACCACACCTGACCTGCTGCCCTCAGACCTGCCCCCTCCCCAGACCTAGAATTGCTATTGATTTTCGGCTCCCATTTCTCCTCCCAGAACCTGGGACTGCAGTGGATTAACTGTGTTGGATTGGTGGGAGACTCAGTAACACCTTACCCAAAAGAAGACCTCATGCGGCTCCAGTCAGTGTGGTGAGTTTGCCCCTAAATAGAGGTCTTTAGTGGGTAAATAGGAGCAGTAGTGGACCTCCAACCAACTCTAAGACCTCGGCAAGGTGGCAAGAGTGTGGGTGATTCCCTCCTCCACACAGAGAACATCAGGCAGGGTGAGGAGTGTGCCAATAAGGCCTCCCCCAACTTGGAGAAAATTAAAAGGGCTTATGAGACACCCTGTGACACAGTAGGGCCTCAGCCAACACAAACACTATAGACAGGGAGATCTGGTGACCTGCAACAACCAGAAGACAGCAACAGCAGGAACTAAGAGTTGACCTACATAAATACTCCTAGGCTAGTCAGCCTGGAAGAATATAGGACTCACCCAACAGGCCCTGCAGAAGAAATATAGGTGACTGACCCTCTTCTTCATTGTAGTACTCAACAACTGGACAAACATCAACCACACAGTAGGACCCTAAGATACACACCACCAACAGTTGAGAATATTGGGATTGAAAGACCACACATAGCCCACATTGTGAAAATGACAAAATGAAAAAGCAAAATGAAATCTCAAACATCTAGTCCATCAGGAGAAAGTACAGGAGACCCTGAAATATATGACTTTAAAAGTCATACACCAGAAGTCTCTGAAAAGATAGCAAGTGAAATAAAGAAACAAATCCATGAGGTCATAGAGGAAATCAAATTAGAAATAGTTTCTCACATAAAGACAGAAATAACAGCCTTACAAAAGGAACTGCTCAGTGTAGCTAGAGAAGAAATAGATAAAAAAAAGTACATGAGCATGGCAAACTGATTGAAACCTTGAATGAACAATATAGAAAACAAGCAGAATCCATGAATCAAATTCAAAGAGACATCCAAAAACAAAAAATTCTATTGAAAGCTTGCAAAACTGTTTAAAGAAAGCTGAGGATACAATTTTGGACCTTGAGGAGAGGATTGCAATTAGTGATCATTAAAGGATAGAACTTAAAAAATAACAAAGCAGCATGAAATGACAATCCAGCAGCTTCAAGACAATGCCAAGAAAAACAATATAAGACTAATAGGCATCACTGAAGATGCAGGAGTCAATGCAAATGACATAACTAAAATATTCACAGAAGTAATAGCAGAAAATTTCACAAACATGGGGAAAAATCTGATATGCAGATAAGTGAGGCATATAGAACACCACAACCAATATAAATCTACACCTAGACATATAATAATGAAGATCTCAGACATACAGCATAAAAAGAGAATACTAAAAGCTGTTAAAGACACAACTTACCTATAAAGGAAAGCCCATTAGAATCACAGCAGGCTTTTCAGCATAAACCCTCAAGTTAAGATGAGCTTGGAGAGAAGTATTTCAAACTCTGAAAGAAAACAACTTTTAGGCCAGATTGATGTACCCAGAAAAACTGTCTTTCAAATTTAATGGAGAAACAAGATATTTCCATGATAAAGAACAACTGAAGAAATTCATGTCCACCAAACCAGCCCTAGAAATAGTACTGAAAGACATACTAGATAGAGATAAAAATGACCACAATACCCAGAACAACAACAGAAAGAAGCCACCAGCCAGGGCAAGCAATTAAACAAGCAGGAAAAGCAGAAAACCAACAACAGCAATGTAACATGACAAAGTCAAGCCCGTACATACCAGTTATATCCATCAATGTAAATGGCCTCAATTCACCTATCAAAAGAAATAGGCTGACAGAATGGGTCAAGAAACATGATCCTACAATATGCTGTATACAAGAATCACATCTGACCCAAAAGGAAACTCATAGATTAAAAGTCAAAGGATGGAAAACAGTATTCCATGTAACAGGAACCCAGAAAAAAGCAGGGGTAATTACTGTGTTTGCAGACAATGTGAATTTAGAACCTAAAATGATGAAAAGAGATAAAGAAGTTCACTACATACTTGTTAGTGGAGAACTTCAAGAGGAAGAACTAGCAATTATAAATATTTATGCAGCAAATAAGGGGCACTCAACTATATAAGACAGTAATGGATATGAAAAAACCAAATACATAAGAACACAATTGTAATAGGGCACCTTAATACTCCACTGTTGCAAAGAAATAGATCAACTAGACAAAAAGTTAGCAAAGAAATAACAGAACTGAATCATGCCTGTGAACAAATGGACTTATAGATGTTTACAGAGTGTTCCAGCCAACCACATCAGAATATGAATTCTTCTCAGCTGCACAAGGGACATTCCCCAAAGTAGATCATACACGAACCCATAAAGTGTTCTTAAGTAAATGCAAAGAGACTGGAATTATCCCATGCATATTATTTGACCATAGTGCATTGAAATTAGAAATTAATGGCAAAAGAAATTGCAAAACCTTCATAAATACATGGAGATTAAATAACAACCTTCTGAACAAGCAGTGGGTTACAGGTGAAATTAAGAAATAAAGCCATACCTACAATTCAGTGAAATTGTGTGTTTTAGTTACTTTATGCTTGTTGCTGAGACAAAATACCTGAAGCCCAAAGTTGGGAAAGGAAAGGCTTATTTTTTACAGTTTTTGGAGGTTTCAGTCCACACTCAGTTGGCTCCAAGACAGGTGGGCATGGCTGGACCCCAGTTCACGGCAGCCGCCGACAGCAAACTCAAACCAGCAAAGAGCAAGACACACCTTCTTCCTGCCATTACATCACCTCCTGGCTCCACCCCTATGTGGGTAGCACACTGACATCATCAATCCAAGCACTAGACAATGAACCATCACAAATACACAATGCAAACTCATGAGGCCTGGGGGACACAGACATAAACCATGACATTCCACCCCTGGCCCCCAGGACTCATGTGCATCCTTTATACAAAAGACATTTAGTCCACCTCCCAGAGTTGCCAAAGTCCTAACAGTTTCAGCATTGCTGAGCAGTCCAAGTCCCAAGTGTCCTCCGTGATCTATGGCAAGATGTTAAATGTAACCCCTGTACAAATGAAACAAGATTAAACATTTCTGAAATGCAAAGGCACAAGATAAATGTTACCATTCCAAAAGTTACAAACAGGGGAATATAAAGCATTGGAAACAAAGCAAGTCCAACATCCAGCAGGGCAAACATTAAGTCCTAGAGTTCCACAGTCAGCATCTGAAGCAATCTGGTTGCAAGCTCCAAAAAGCTTGGGTGATTCCACCCACAGGGCACTTCCAGTGATTTCAACTCCCGCAGCTTTTCTCTTAAATCTTCTCTGCTCGCTTTTTGCAGCTTCCCTTGGATCATCCACGTTCCTGGCTTTTCCAAACTTCTGGGGTCTCCACTGCACCTTCAGCTTCACCTTTACATCTTCACAAATTGCCCTCTCAGGGGCACACTGCTTGACCTCCCAGGCCCTTTGCAATCGAGGTGGAAGCTGTCTTACACTCAGAATTCGTGCATTTTCCTTGCACCTAAAATCAGCACCTTGTGGATGCCGCCAAGGTTTGCTGCTAGCTGAAGCAGTAGCCAGGCTTTTCTCTCTCTTGGCTGTAGGGGTCAGTTGCCTGGATCGCAGGGCTCTGTTTAACTGATTGTGAGAAAAAGCTTCTCTATGTTGCTGCCATTCTGGAATTTCATGTGGCCACTGTCACCATTCTGGAACATGGCACTCTGCAGCTTTTCCTTCTGAGCAAATTTTTTCATCTTTGCTGTGAGGCTGCACAGGGTGGGGACCCCGCTTCCTGGGATGCCCCGGGGCCATCTTTCTTATCTCTCTGTTTTTCTCAGGAATCAAAATCTCAACTCTGTCTTTAAAATCCACAGCCTTCCTGGAATTTTCCTTCGGGCCAAACTCACAGCATGGTACATTATCCTGCTGGGCTCTTTGCTCCTGATTAGAAACATAAGGCTGGCTGAAAGCCCCCAACAATAGCCATGCCACAGCCTCAATGTTCGATTGCTTTTTAATTTCCTTTTCAAGATTAATCAGTGCATTGCACTTTGTCTCAGTCTCAGGCAAAGTCTCTGGACAGGAGCACAATGCAGACAAACTTTCTGCCATGCCATAACACACATCATGTGGAGTCCAATGACCAATGCAGTCTTTCTTCCCAGCAGAAACCTCCCAAGCCTGGTCTTTACCATGAGGCTTTCTATCATCAGCCTTCTGGTCTCCTGAGCTCTGACCAGAAACTCCTCTACAGAACACCCTAAAGCTGCTCCAGCTCTATGCATCCAGGCAACATGTCCAAACCTTTCCAAACTCCGCCCACAATCCATTTTCAAAGCCTCTTGAAAAACATGGCCAGGTATAGTCACAGCAAATGACCCCACTCCTTGGTACCAAATTCTGTCTTAGTTACTTTATGCTCATCGCTGAGACAAAATACCTGAAGCCCAAAGTTGGGAAAGGAAAGGTTTATTTCTTGCAGTTTTTGGAGGTTTCAGTCCACGGTCAGTTGGCTCCAAGACAGACGGGCATGGCTGGACCGCAGTTCATGGCAGCCACCGACAACAAACTCGAACCAGCAAAGAGCAAGACACACCTTTTTCCTGCCATTACATCACATCCTGGCTCCATCCCTATGTGGGTTGCACACTGACATCATCAATCCAAACACTAGAAAATGAACCATCACAAATACACAATGCAAACTCATGAGGCCTGGGGGACACAGACATAAACCATGACAATGTGGATACAACATACTGTAATCTGTGGGATGCAATGAAAGTGGTCTTAAGAGGGAAATATATAGCACTAAATTGTCATATCAAGAAAATGTAATGAGCACAAATAAACAACCTAGTGCTACATCTCAAGCTTCTAGAAAAGAAACAGCAAGTCAAGCCTAAAGCTCATAGAAGAGAAGAAATAGTAAAAATATCAGAAATTGAAACTAAAAAAAATACAAAGAATTAATGAATCAAAAAGCTGGTCTTTTTGAGAGAATAAACAAAATTGATAAAGCTCTAGCCAATCTTATTAAGAAAAAGAAAGAAAAAAAATCAAATTCATGCAATAAGGACTGAAAAGAGAAATTACTACAGATCCATTGGA